ACACACACAGACAACCTCCTGATCACTCGGAAGCAGTCTGCCACGGTCATGTTTTTTTTTAGTGTATAGCGAATATGACGACAAAAAAAAATAAAAAAAAAAAAAAAAACCGGCGGTGTAACAACAGCGGCCCTGCCTCCCTCTTCCTCCCTCTCCTCTGCCGCAGCGTAGCTGCGGCGGGTCCACTTGTGTATCTAAATCTTCCACTGCGCTATTCAGCAGCATTTTGTATGTATGAGAATGCACATTGCTCGTTGAGATTCTACTTGCACTGCATTGTCCATTCAGTCTTTTTTATCACATTGTGGATCCTCGGTTTCTATGTACATCGCCCAACTGGGCATGTGACAATTGGTATCGGTGCACCGCACGTGAATCAGGACAACCTGATCTGACACGTGTGCGGGGACTAAATAGATGATTAGTCTTTATTGATTGATTAGAGCACATTAGTTAGACCCCAAAATCACGATTTTGACCTTACTACCGAAAATCGAATTTTTTTTCTTTCCTTGGATTTTGTTTTCTCGTTATTTCTGTTGTAGAAAATCGTAATATCACAACATCTGAAATTTCCATTTTCGTTTTTCTTCTGAAATGTCGAAATTTCGTTGTTGAAAATCCGGAATATCCTTCTTTTCAAAAATTTCGATTTCCTGTTGCATTTCCCGTTACTTGGAAATTCGGAATATCTTCTTTTTCGAAATTCTTTTTTCTGAAAACGGTACGGGAAATCCCTCCTGCAGGTATTATTTTCCAAACTGCGAATATTCGCATCTGAGAACATCCGAATACTTGTCATTTCCTTTCGGAATTTTTTTTTCCGCAGCTCTAGGATTCTGTTAGTCAGTTCTATAAATCATTTGCAGTCTGAAGTCGAAATCTTTCTGTAATTTATATTTTGTACTTCAAGGGAGGTTGGGAGACCTACTGAACTTGCAAAAATCGGGATTTTTTTTTTATTGATTTTTCTTTTCTCGAATTTTCTTTTGCAAAGTTCAAACTTTTCTTTAGATTAGTGGCTCCTTATCTGGGCGATTTATCCCACCTACCCCTTTCCACCTATGTTGTTGCCACCTCTGATCTTATCTCCTTCTTCTTTCATCCGGGTACCACTACTGCGACATTGGTAAGTTGCCACGTCAGACACGTAAGCAGCCAAACAGTGCCACGTCAGCAGGGGGTGCCACGTCAGCAGCTCTCCGGGCTGGTTCATGCTCACGCGCTCCCAAACAGCCCCCATGGACCAGAAGCCAGGAGAAACGGACGCGGACTACCAGATCCGGATGCTGGCCATGATTACCGAGGCTAAGCAACGATCGGATGCAGTCGCTGCTACATCCAGGAAGAAGGCAGAGGACGCCGAGCAGGCACGTCTGTTGGCAGTAGAACAACAGCGCCTGCAGGCCGAGGCAGCAGCTAGGGCTGCCGATGAAGAGAGGATACAGCGGTGAGAGAAGATTTTCAAGGGGGAGCGAGCTTTGCTCGCAATGGCCGCGGATTGGCGGACTGAGGCTGAGACAGGGAAGATGGCGGAGAGCGAAAGCAAGATTGCTCTCCTCCTATCCCATCTCACAGACCTCTTGGCCACGTGCTCGCACAGCAAGAGGACATCCATAGCCTCGACGCCACGGCGCAGAATCACAAACGGGCATTGGATGACCTCAACAGCCGCTTCCAGCAGCTGCAACAAACAGTCGCCGCCCCCGCCGCCAACACCTCCAACATGTCTGATCGTCTCAATGCCTTGGAGATCGACATGGGGACAGTCAAGGATGGCATGCAGCACCAGCACACCGCCACCCAGCCATTGGAGCAGTGGATATGCACCGCTGCTGCCCATCCAAGTTCCTCAGAACGGGAGTCAACTCCAAAGTGGGACAGCCAGACAATCATCCTCGACTCGTCCAAGACGGACCCAGTTCAGTGGTTTCGCAAGTTCGAATTGACGCTGCAGCTTCATTACGTCAGCGAACATAAGAACCACGCGTACTTGTATTCCCGGTTAGGGGGAGCATGCCAGGCATGGCTGGACAATCTGTTGTCCAAGTACGGCGTGATCGCTGCAGATCTGCATACAAAGATCAGTTGGGAAGACCTCAAGGCAGCATGGCACAAGCGGTTCCAGGTGGAGCCGCCAGAGATCAAGGCCATGGACAAGCTGCTCACCTTCGAGCAGGGCACGCTGCCGAGTGTCGACTGGATAGCCGAGTACCAGCGCTTGACATCCGTCCCGGATCTGCAGATGGGCTTCAAAGCCATACGCCACTACTTCATCTCAAGGTCATGTCCGACATTAAGCAATGCCCTGACTCATGTCGAGGACACCTTGATGACGACGGCGGAACTTTTTGACAAGGCCACGCAGATCATCATTACGAACAAGGAGGCGAAGAATCTGCGTTCGTCTGCGGCAGGCCCGAGCAGGGACCAGCATCGGCCAAGAGTGGCCGTGGTCGCGGCGGCAACTCCGTTTGACCAAACCAGCGAAGCTGTGTCTGCCAGTGAAGGGGACAGACTCGCAGCCGCCCGGGAAGGTGGCCGCCCCGGCAGAGACCGAGGACGCGGCAAGACGAAGACACACACCGAATCTAGCCCCGGGCCCGGCGCAGCAGCTCCAGCCCCTTGGTCCCAATACGACATCTCCGAGCAAGCCTTCAAGGCGCGCACGAGATTCCACTATTGCCTATGGTGCAACAGTGATCTTCATCAGACACCGGTCTGCCCATTGAAAGGCAAGGGCAAACAGGGAAACTGAGCACCGCCGAGAGTGACTCGACAACACTCTCGACGCCTCCGGAACCGGTTTCTTCGCGAGAAACCGGCCTTCATTCCGAGGCGCACGCGGAAGTCGATAGTCCTCCTCTTCTACTTTCTTTTGAGGACTATGCTGCCCGGCTCGTTCCTACGCTGGGTACTCAAGCTCAAGGACAAGATGTGTGTGCGGTTTCTTCTCCGTCCGGCAGCGGCGACTTATCGTCTTCAAGTGGTGCTTCACGGGATTCGGCGCGCGAGTTCAACATAGAGGTATTGGACCCGCTCACGTTCGAGGACTTCGCATGGCTTCCTCTCCCGACCACGACCACAGGTCGCTTGCCGGGACCGCAATGCGCAGCACTATGCGCTCATCTCCACACTTACTTATCCTTCTATGCACCACCAACTTTGCCGACGGATGACGAAGTCACGGTGGGGGCATCCTTGCGTATACTACCAAGGTGGCCCGCGAGTTTCGCACGCAGCGGTACGATGACAACAATGCACCGCTCATGTATGTCCGCATTCAAGTTGGGCAAGCGTCCTACAACGCTTTGCTGGATAGTGGCGCGTCTCGCAATTTCATGAGCCAATCCTTTATGCAAAGGGCTGGCCTTGGCGCACAAGTACGGAGGAAGGCAAAACCGACGGCGATCAAGTTGGCGGATGGGAAAACGCAACAACTTCTCAACCGTTACATCGAGGCCGTACCGGTCTACTTCGCACCTCATGCATGCGAACCGGTGACATTCGATATTCTCGACACGGACTTCGACATCATTCTGGGAATGCCTTGGCTTGCAAGTGCGGATCACACGGTCAACTTCCACCGGCGGACTCTTAGCGTTCGCAACGCCTTCGGCGCGGAAGTGGCGTGTACTATTCCTCTACCACACCGTTCGATTCGGTGCCAAGTGGTGACGGCTAAATCATTCCGGGCGACTTGCGCTTACGAGCAGTCCGAGGAAATCGGCCTATGTTTCCTACGGACCGTCGCGGTAGCCGATGCTTCACCCACAGATTTGTCTTTGGACCCCTGGGTGGTGCGGTTGCTGGACGAGTTCGCCGACATCTTCGAGTCACCTACCGGTGTCGTGTCGGATCGGCCGATCTCTCATGAGATCATTCTTGAGGCTGGTGCCGTGCCGCCGAAAGGTTGCATCTATCGGATGAGCGAGGAGGAGCTTGAGGTCCTCCGCGCACAACTCGACGATTTGTTGGCCAAGGGCTGGATCCGCCCTAGCAGCTCCCCATATGGAGCACCGGTTCTCTTCGTCTGGAAGAAAAACAAGGATCTACGATTGTGCATCGACTACCGCAAGCTCAACGTGCAAATCGTCAAGAATGCGGGGCCTCTCCCTCGCATCGACGAACTTCTTGAGCGACTGGGCGGCGCAAAGTATTTTTCTAAGTTGGATTTGAAATTAGGATATCATCAAATCTCGATCCGGCCGAACGATCGCTACAAGTCCGCATTCAAGACGTGGTACGGGCATTTTGAGTGGGTGGTCATGCCTTTTGGCCTCACCAACGCCCCGACGACCTTTCAAGCGGTAATGACCAATGAGTTTCGTGCAATGTTGGACCGGTTCGTGCTGGTCTACTTAGACGATATTCTCATATATAGCCGGTCATTGGAGGATCATCTGGGACATCTTCGACGAGTGTTGGAGACGCTCCGCCGCGCCAAGTACAAGGCCAACCGTGACAAGTGCGAATTTGTCCGGCAAGAGCTGGAATACTTGGGCCATTTTGTCACACCGGAGGGCATCAGTCCGCTATCGGACAAGATTCAAGCCATCCAAGAGTGGCCGGAGCCCCGGAACGTCACGGATGTCCGTTCGTTCCTTGGCCTTGCCGGCTACTACCAGCGTTTTATCAAAGGCTACTCGAAGATCGTGGCCCACTTGAACAAGCTTCAATGCGAGGATCGACCGTTTGACTTCGGAGAGGAGGCGCGGGAATCATTCTTTGCTCTTAAAGCCGCGCTATTATTTGCGGAGGTCTTGCGGATATACGACCCGCTTTTGCCTACGCGCGTCACTACGGATGCGTCAGGCTATGGCATTGGTGCAGGCCTCGAGCAACAGGATGCTGTGGACTGGCACCCGGTCGAGTATTTCAGCAAGAAAGTGCCCATCGTGCATTCCATTGACGATGCACGCAAGAAGGAGCTCCTCGCCTTCGTCCACGCGCTCAAGCGGTGGCGGCACTTCCTCCTTGGTCGAAGCCAATTTCGATGGGTAACGGACAACAATCCGTTGGTCTTCTATAAGACCCAAGACACCGTCAACAGCACCATCGCTCGATGGATGGCTTTCATCGACCAGTTGGACTTCTTTCCCGATCACATTCCCGGGAAGTCGAACCGTTTTGCGGATGCTTTTTCACGGCGTCCGGATCATTGTACCGCGGTCTACTCAACCTTCGAGATCGATGATGATCTACGGAACAGCTTCATCCGCGGCTACCAAGCCGACCCCGAGTTTCGCGACAAGTACTCGAATTGCTCCTCTCCTAATCCGGCGCCTTCTCACTACCGGATCCAAGAGGGGTACTTGCTTGTCCACACGCGGGGGAAGGACCTTCTTTGCGTACCGAGTGATTCTCACTTGCGTACACGGCTTCTTGGCGAGTTCCACGATGCTCCCGCCACCGAGCACTTTGGAGTCAATCGCACGATTGGCCGACTTCGCGAGCGATTTTGGTGGCCCGGCCTTCTCAGCGACGTCACACGCTATTGCGAGTCATGCGAGGTTTGTCGACACTGCAAATCCCGCAACCATCGTCCGTACGGCGAGTTATGACCATTACCGGTCCCGTTGAGGCGAAGGGAAGCGATTGCCATGGACATTACCGGCTCGTTCCCCAAACACAAGACCGGAGTGGATGGGATTCTCACGGTGGTCGACCGACTCACCAAGTTCGCCATGTTCTTGCCTTGTCGCTATCATGCCAAGGCATCGGAGTTGGCCGAGGTTCTCTACGCCGGTTGGATTCGAACCAAGGGTTACCCCAAGGAAATCGTCTGCGACCGTGACACTCGGTTCATGTCCGATTTTTGGTTGGGGCTCATCAAGCGATGGGGCTCATCTCTCAAGCCCAGTTCAGCTCGCCACCCTCAGACCGATGGCCAGACGGAGAGGGCGCATCAGACCGCACAGGTTCTCCTTCGCACTCTCATCCGCCCCGACCAGAAGGACTGGGTTGAGCGGCTGCCGGATGTCGAGTTGGCCTACAACTCCTCTATCCACTCGGCTATCGGGATGTCGCCCTTTGAGTTTGAGCACTGCTCGCCGGTCACTTCACCGTTGGACACTATTACTCCACGAACGGCCGAGAGTGACGACCATCTTTTCTTCTTGCGTCGGATGCAAGAGCTTCTTGTCAAGGCATGCGATCAGATGGCTAAGACGCAGCGACGCATGAGCCAGCAGGCCAATCGCCAGCGTCTTCCTTGCCCATTCCGTGCAGGGGACCTCGTTTGGGTTTCCGCAGCGGAATTCAGCCTTGAACAAGACATCTCTCGCAAGCTCCTCCCGAAATGGATGGGGCCTTGGCCGATCGTAGCACCCGCTGGAGACGCACCCAAGGGACCTTCCTTCACGATTTAGGTGCCTGGCCACTTGCTCGTCTACCCAGTCTTTCATTGCTCCAAGTAGGCTCTTTACACGCCAGCGGAACATGACGATTTTCCCGGAAGACGTTCGCAAGACCCTCCCTCCATGGATGGTTTTCAGGAGGTCGGCGACATCATCTCCCAGCGGCGCTACGACAACAGGCCAACCGAGTATTTAGTGCATTTTGCCTACTGCACACACCGAGCTGACCATTGGTTGACCCGTGCGGAACTTCAAGCAACAGCTCCAGACGTTCTCGCACGCTACGAACACAAGATGCAAGGCAAGCCGGTTTCTTCGGCAGCACGCCGCACCCGCGTCCAGGTTCCACCTTCAGACCGTCGGCTTCGCCCTCGCCCCGACTTGACTTCATAAGAAGGGGGGGTGTTGCATGCTGCGCCTGCACACGCGGGCCATTTTCCAGGCCTTGCGTCCTTCAGGCCGAAAGCCTGAAATCCAGGGCTTACAGGCCCCATGTC